GAGGAGGTGGGAAGGTGAGGAGCAAAAAAGAAGGGGGATGGGCAGAAGATTAAACTGAAGTGATACTGATGTGGCTATGCCAGACTTTTCATGCTGCTTTTGAAGCCAAAATTTGATTCTCGCAAAAATGACAGATGTTGCAGCTTTGGCCAATTAAAGGACAAAAGCGTAATAATTTTACGCTCTGCTAGTTATATAACAGGCACTTGAACACCAGTCAGCTACTCAAAAATAATCAAACATGAACAGGCAGTTTATTGCTATGTAAAAAAAAAGCAAAATTAAAGAAAGGAAGTAATAGCAAAAAAATTATACATACGTATATAAGACTATAGATGGAATAGAAGTTACAGGAGACATTGTACTCTATGAAATTCTAGGGAGAGCCACCTTCATGTAGAATGTAATGCATGTAATTTTATTTCCATTTTCAAATGAATGAACCATTAGTGAAATGTTGTTAATACTAATTTTTTGGAAAGAATATTTACATTTGTATTTCTGTTTTTGCCAAAATTAACTTGAGTTTTTGTAATAGAGATTTTACAATCGTAAATACACCTTCCTTCCATGAGAAATGCACATTCAATGTATTTCAGTGACTTTTCCCCATTTTATTTTTGTTGTGGTAAAATATGTATAATATAGAATTCACCTTCTTAACCATTTTTCAGTGTACAGGTTAGTGGTATTAAATACTGCTATCCTTGCCATCTAGCTCCAGAACTCTTTTCATATTTTAAAACTGAAACTCTAGACTCATGAAACAATACCCCATTCCCACCTTCTCCTGCCACCTGGAAACCACCATTCTGTTCTGTCCCTATGGTTTTGACTACTCTTACGTACCTCATATAAGTGGAATTATACAGTATTTATCTTCTTGTGACTGACTTATTTCACTTACACAATGTCCTAAGGTTTATCCATGTTACAGCACATGTCAGAATTGCCTTCCTTTTTTTTCTTTCTTTTTGTTTTCTACTTTTATTGATATATAATTGACAAACAGCACTGTGTAAGTTTAGGTCGTACAGCCTAATGATTTGTCTTCCATATATCATGAAATAATTACCACAATAAATTTACTTAACATCCATCATCTCATATAGATACTGTGATATATATATATATACTTTTTCCTGATGATGAGAACTCTTAGAATCTACTCTTAACAACTTTCATGTGTATCATACAGTAGTGTTAACTATAGTCACCATGTTGTATATTACATCTGCTGTACTGACTTGTCTTATAACTGGAAGTTTGTGCCTTTTGACTACCTTCATCCAATCCACTCCCCATAATAACCACAAATCTGACCTCTTTTCCTAGGAGTTTGTGGGGTTTTTTGTAATTTTTATTCAATTTATTTATTTCCTTCCTTTTTAAGGCTGAATAATATTTCATTGTATGTCTATCCACATTTTGCTTATCCATTCATCTATCAATGAACACTTGGATTGCTTCCACATACTGTGAATAATGCTTCTATGAACATAGGTGTACAAAGATCTCTGTGACACACAGCTTTCAGTTCTTTTGGGTATATACTCAGAAGTGGAATTGCTGGGTCATATAGTAATTCTATTTTTAATTTTTTGAGAAACCACAATACTATTATCCATAGCTTCTGTACCGTTTTACTTGCCCACCAACAATGCACAAAGTTTCCAATGTCTCCACATCCTCACTCAATTATTTTCTGTTTTCTTTTTCTTTACATAGTAACTCTTCTAATGGGTGTGAGGTGGTATATCATTGTAGTTTTGTGTGTGGGGGGGGGGTTGTGTTTTTATCTTATTATGTGAGAAAAAAATTTTATTTTTGTTTGAGACAGTGATTTCCAAAGTGGAGTGTGCTAGAGTATCCACTATGGGAGGGAAGAAAATATTAAAACTTTATATAGAAAAAATAAGCTTTACTAATATTTAATAGTTGAGTTGACGCTGGTTGGTATATCTGAAAGTGTACTGTCACTTAGGTTATATGAGATAGCCTGAAGGAAGAGTTGGGCATTGACAACCTGGTGGAATTGACAGCAGTATACTCATCCTTATTCTTGCCTTTGGTGAACTCTATCCATGTACATGGATATCTGGATTATATTATCTACTGTTTTTTATTGAAGTATAGTTGACATACAATATTATATTAGTTCCGGGTATACAACATAGTGACGTGACATTTCTATACATTACAAAGTGATCACCATAGCAAGTCTGTAGTAACCACCTGTCCCCACCATACAAAGTTACTGAAATATTATTGACTATATTCCCTATGCTGTACATTATATCCTCATGTGAGTTGTTTTATAACTGGAAGCTTGTACCTCTTAATCTTCTTAATCTATTTTGCCCATCCCTCCACCTCCCCCCTCTGGTGACCAACTGTTTATTCTTTGTATCTATGAATTTGTTCCTGTTTTTTTTTGTTTGTCGGTTTGTTTTGTTTTCTGGATTCCACATATAAGTGAAATCATATGATATGTGTCTTTCTCTGTCTGACTTATTTCACTTAGTATAATACCCTCTAGGTCCATCCATGTTGTCACAAACCGCAAGATTTCATTCTTTTTTATGGTTGAGTAATATTCCATTATATATATTATGTTGCAATGAACACAAAGTGCATGTTTCTTTTCCAGTTAGTGTTTTTGATTTCTTTGGCTAAATATCCAGAAGTGGAATTGCTGGATCATATGGTGGTTCTATTTTTAATTTTTTGAGGAACCTCCATAATGGCTGCACCAATTTACAGTCCTAGTGTATGAAGGTGCACTTTTCTTCTCATCCTTGCCAATACTTATTTCCTGTCTTTTTGATAATAGCCATTCTGACATGTACAAGGTGATATCTCATTATGGTTTTGATTTGCATTTCCCTGATGATTACTGATATTTAGCATCTTTTCATGTGTCTGTTGGCCATCTGCAAATCATCCTTGGAAAAATGTTTATTCAAATTAATTGTTTGTTTTTTTGATATTGAGTTGTAAGAGTTATTTTTATATTTGGATATTAACCTCTTATTAGATATATCACTTACAAATATCTTCTTCTGTTCAGTAGGTTGCCTTTTTGTTTTCATAATGGTTTCCTTCACAGTGTAAAACTTTCTAGTTTGATGAAGTCCCATTTTTAAATTTTTGCTTTTGTTACCTTTGCCAGAGGAGACAGATCCAGAAAAATATTGCTAAGACCAATATCAAGGAGGTGACAGCCTACGTTTTCTTCAAGGAGTTATACGTCTTATATTTTTGTCTTTATATTTTATGTCTTTAATCCATTTTGAGTTTATTTTTGTACGTGGTGTAAGAAAGTGATCCAGTTCCATTCTTTTGTATGTAGCTGTCCAGTTTTCCCAACACCATTTATTGAAGAAACTGTCTTTTCCCTATTGTATATTCTTCTCTAGTTTGTCGTAGATTAATTGACCATATAAGCATGGGTTTATTTCTGGCCTTTCTCTTCTATGCCATTGATCTACGCATCTATTTCTGTGCCGGTACCATATAGTTTTGTTTACTATAGCCTTGTAGTATAGGTTGAAGGCAGGGAGCATGATACCCAAGCTTTGTTCTTCTTTCTCAATATTGCTTTGCCTGTTTAGGGTTTTTTTTGGTTCTACACAAATTTTAGGACTATTTGTTCCAGTTCTTTTATAAATGCCATTGGTGTTTTCATGGGGATTACATTGAATCTGTAGATTACTTTGGGTAGTATGGACATTTCAACAATATTAATTCTTCTAATCCATGAGCTTGGAATATCTTCCCATTTATTTGTGTTGTCTTCAATTTCTTTCATTAACGTCTTATACTTTTCAGGATGAAGGTCTTCCACCACCTTGCTTCAATTTATTCCTAGGTATTTTATTCATTTTGATGCAATTGTAAATGGGATTATTTTCTTAAATTCTCTTTCTTGTTCTTAATTAGTGTATAAAAGTGCAACAGATATCTGTATATTGAGTTTGTATCCTATGAATTTACTGAATTCATTTATTAGTCCTAATTTTTTTGGGTGGAGTCTTCAGGGTTTTCTATATATATTATCATGTCATCTGCAAATAGTAACAGTTTTACTTCTGCCTTTCCAATTTGAGTGCTTTTTATTTCTTTTTCTATACATTGAATACTATTTTGAATAACAGTGGCAAGAGTGAGCACCCTTGTCTTGTTCCTGATCTTAGAGGAAATGCTTTCAGCTTTCCACCATTGAGTCTGATGTTAGCTGTGGGTTTGTCATGTATGACTTTTTAATTATATTGAGGTATGTTCTCTCTCTACTCACTTTCTTGAAAATTTTATCATAAATTGATGCTGAATTTTGTCAAATGCTTTTCTGCATCTATTGAGATGATCATATGATTTTTATCCTTCAGTTTTTTAATGTGGTGTATCATGTTGATTGGTTTACAGATATTGAACCATCCTTGCATACCTGGGATAAATCCCACTTTATCATGGTGTAAATCATTTTAATATATTGTTGAATTTGGTTTGCTAATATTTTGTTAAGCATTTTTACACTGATGTTCATCAGGAATATTGACCTATAATTTCTTTCTTTTATTTTTTTTGGTAATATCTTTGTCTGGTTTTGCTATAAGGGTAATACCTGTCTCATAGAACGAGTTTGGAAGCATTCGTTCCTCTTCAAATTTTTGGAATAATTTGAGAAGGGTAGAAATTAACTCTTATTTTAATGTTTGGTAGAATTCACTCATGAAGCCTTATTGTAGTTTTGATTTGCGTTTCCCTAGCAATTAGCAATGTTGAGCATCTTTTCATTTGCTTATTGGCCACTTACATATTTTCTTTGGAGAAATGTCTATCCAAGTCCTTTGCCCATTTTTGAATTGAGTGGTTTGTTTTTTGTTAATGAGTTTCAAGAATTCTCTATACGTTCTGAATATCAAACCCTTATCAGATATGTGTCTTTGAATCAAAAGTGAATATTGTCAAACTAAATAAAGAAGTAAACTGAGGCAGGCTCAAGAAAATAAGAGTTTATTCAGGAATAGCACAGAAATTGCAATTTGGTTGCAAATGGTGAACTATGGTTCACCACAGTCAAGTCCAAAGATACAAAAAGAAGGTCAACATTTATTAAGTTTTAGGAGGAAATTGGGGAAGTTGTTTTGAATAAAAGTTCATTGGAGAGGAACAGGAGTTTGAGTTTGTGGCAGTTTCTTATTAGCTGTAAGTGGTGGTTAGTGAACTGTTGCAGGGCAGGGAGAAATCTTCCTTCCTTTTCTTGAAAGCAGGAGATGAAATTCTCATGTGAAAAATGTCCTGCCTTGTAACAGAAGAAAGGTAGTAGCATTCTTATCATCACAGAAAAAAAGATGAGACTGAGAGAATTTTATACAAAGAATTCTAGACAAATAGACCTTGTTCTCTTCCTTCTTCTTGCTGGTTATGGAGGTGGCAACCAATGGTACATGCATGAGAGCTTCCCTTTCCAGGCTCCTTGACTCCATTTTAAATGAGATTTTTCTTTATTTTTACAGTATTTTGTACATAGCATATACTTGTATCATCACTTTTTTGTTTTTCTTTTCTTTCTTATTTTACTTTCTGTCAATCTTTGTCTTTTGATTGGAGAGCTTAATCCATTAACATTTAAACTAATCACTGATAAGGAGGTGCTTACCTCTGTCATTTTTCTATTTGTTTTCCATATGTCTTAGAGCTTTTGTCCCTCAGTCTGTGCATTACTCTCTTCTTTTGTGTTTAGTTGACTTTTTGTAGAGGATCATTTAAATTCCTTTCTCATTTCCATTTGTGTATATTCTATAGCTATTTTCTTTATGGTTACCATGGTGATTACATTTAACATTCTAAAGTTATAACACTCTAATTTGAATTTGTACCAGCTTAACTTCAATAACATAAAAAAACTCTGCTCATTTACAGCTCCATCTCCTTTCAATTGTTGATGTCACAAAAGTACATCTTTATACATTGTATGCCCAAAATCACAAGCTAACAAATCTTTTAAATGAATTTGTCTTTTAAATTATGTAAAAAACAAAATGTGGAGTTATAAACCAAAGTTATAATATTACTAGCTTTCAGACTAACTGTTTTTTGTTTTAATGTCTTCGTCTGTTAAATCACAAAAGCAAAAACTGGGTTTACATACTATTGTTACAATATAGTTTTTATAATTGTCCACATATTTACCATTACAGAGCTCTTTATTTCTTCATTTGACCTTTAGTTACTGTCTAGTGTTGTTTCATTTGAAACTACAGGATTCCCTTTAGCATTTCTTGCAGTGCAGGTCTAATGATAACAAACTCTCTCAGGTTTTGTTTATCTGAGAACGTGTTAATTTCTCTCTTATTTTTGAAGGACAGTTTTACCAAATATAGGATTCTTGGTTGAAAGATTTTTTTTTTCTTTTAGCACTTTGAATATATTGGCCCCCTGCTTTTCTGATGAGAAAATCAGTTTATGATGAGAAATCTGCTTATAATCTTATTGAGGATCATTTGTATATGGCAAATCACTTCTCTCTTACTACTTTCCACATTTTCTCTTTGTCTTTTTCTTTCAAAAGTTTGATTATGTGTTTCAGTGTGAGTCTCTTTGAGTTCATTTTATTTGGAGTCGCTGAAGTTCTTGGATGTTTATATTCAAATCTTTCATCAAACTTAGACCTTTCTAGCTATTATTCCTTCAAATAGTCAATCTATCCCTTTATCTTTTTTTCTTTCTCTGCAATTTCTATAATGTATATGTTGGGCTGCTTGATACTGTCCCACAAGTCCCTTAGGCTCTGTTCACTTTCTTCAATCTTTTTTCTTCCTGTTGCTCAGACATAATAATTTCCATTGTCCTATCTTCAAGCTCACTGATTCTTCATCTTGCTCTAATCTACCTTTGAATCTCTCTATTGAATTTTTTTTTATTTCAGTTACTTTATTTTTTAGCTCCAGAATTTCCCTTAGTTTTTTCTAATTTACTCTCTTTATTGATATTTCCATTTTTTCATTTTTTTTTTTTTACTTTTTCCACATCTTTCTTACCTCTTTGAACATCTTTAAGATAGATATTTCAAATTATGTAGTAGATCTGCCATCAGTTCTTTTTCAGGAACAGTTTCTGTTGATTTGTTTGTTTTTTTTTTTTTGAATGAGGCCATACTTTTCCATTTCTTTGTATACTTTGTGACTTTTTGTTGGGAACTGGACATTTGAATCTAATAATGTGGTAACTCTAGAAATGAGATTCTCCCCCCTTCACAGGGTTTGCTGATTTAATTGTTTTTTCTTTTTTTTTTTTTTTTTTTTTTGGTAGATTGTTGTAGGCTTTCTCTGTGCTGAGAATCATCCTAAGGTATAAACTTAAGGTACTTTGAGGTCTCTTCTCAGCTTGTACCTTTCCCTGGCCATGTGTGGTGAATATACGCAGTTTCTTTTCAATGTATTATTCTTTAATCTTTGACTCCCAAAAGGGATAAAAGAGAAAAATGAAGGTGAGAAGGATGCTAGCCCTTGAAATCCCCTGGAAATCACTTTGGCCAGAGGAGGAGAGGCTTGAAAAAATGAGGATCATGCAACAACAATGGCCACCTTCCTCTTGGTCTGCACTTATGATATCAGAAGCAGCAATCAATGGACAGAGCACAGATTCCCAATATTTGTAGGGCAGGGTTGTTTTTACCAGCCCTGGCTACCACAAACTGCATGCAAGCTGTTCTTGGAATGTATGCATGGCTGCCTGTCATGGGGCTGGGAGTGGGAGATGGGTAGCTGTTAATGTGCTAAGAGTTGAAATTGAGCAAAATTCACAACATTTACTACACAGGCTGTCCCCTGGATGTTGCAACACTTCAATAGACTGCAAACTTCCAAAATAGTTATGTCAGACAGATTCTGCCAGTGCCATTGTTGTAGGTGGGGGAGATTCCAGGTGTTTCATACTCTGCCATCTTCCCAGATTAATATTAATTTTACACCTGAAAAATAAAATGTTTAAGAGGAAAACTGTGAACTCAACCAGAAAATTTTATATTGTTTTATTTAGCAGATTCCTTCTTTCTCTATGTCTTACACACACAAACACGCACCACACATGCATGCATACACATTAGCACATACATAAAATTTAGAGGATGGTATTTGTTTACTGGACCTTTTTAAGGCCAAACAGTACTTGGAATGTAATAACATGTGTTCCTATATCTGTTTTTCCTTATTTCTTTCCCAAATCCTATAGTGATGCTTCATAATAATTCTCATCCAAGTTTTATTTGAAGGGAGATGGACAATAAATCCTCTTGACATTGCTTTTACTTAGGCTCCAAGTAAAAATATATTGCACTAAAAAAATGAAGATGGCAAGATTGATTGAAACAATTAGTTCTAGATATCACAGAATTTTTAGATTCAACAAGGATTCTATAGTTTATCTACTCTAAACAACTTTTTAAAGAAATGAAAAATGTAGTCAAGAAAGAAAGCTTTTGTGATTTTCCCAAGTTCCCCTGTATTTATAGAAGTGGAATAAGAATTAATGGTGTTCATACCTTTAGACAAGAAATTAATTTCATGTGCTGGCCAGGTGGCATAGTGGTTGGGTTCACACACTCTGCTTCAGCAGCCTGGGGTTTGCAGATTTGGATCCCAGGTGCAGACCCACACACCACTCATCAAGCCATGCTGTGGTGGTGTCCCATATACAAAACAGAGGAAGATTGGTGCAGATGTTAGCCCAGGAACAATCTTCCTCAAGCAAAAAAAGAAGAGGATTGGCAACAGATGTTACCTCAGGGTCAATCTTCTTCACCAAAAATAAGCAAACAAGTGCAATTAATTTCAGTCTTGAGCTATAATCAGAGATTTTAATGAATATGACATACCTTGCTTTGTCATTAGCTCTAAACTTAAAACATAAATCTAACTGAAATAAGTTTGTGTGTGTATGTATGTTGGTATATTTGTACTCATTGAGATGATTCTAAAATAAAGATTTTTTTTCCTAAAAGATTGACACAGCTCATTTTCCATCTTTATAATTATGTTCTCTTTTGATATTTGCCATTTCACACCAATAAATTCTATTTCTTCAGTGACTGCAAGGTTTCAGCAACATGCAAGACTGTCAGCCATTTTTTCTTAGTACTTTTGTTGAATTGAGTATATATATGAATTTAATAAAGAACTAGATAATTAAACTAAAGTAAAAAAAAACTGTTTAAAAGACCTGTGGAGGGAAAATATTCCAACTACGTAGGATAATTCTATTAGAATCAAAGACAAATTTATTTCTGAACATCCAGGAAACCAAGTGAAGAGGAAAATATGAGTGTATTCTTCTGTTCCTGTCATATTAATTTATTCATCAAGTATTAATTGATGTGCTAGGCACTGCAATAAGTTTACAGAAATATTAAAATTGCCGTGTATATTTTTAAAAGGAAGCAAGGAATAAATTAGAGGCTTTTAAATGGCTTTTTAAAAATGACACAAATAAGAATGGCATATCTTCAATTATGAAACATCTTTTTATTTTTCTACAAATTCATCATAGAAAATTTTTAAACTAAATGAAAGAAACCTATTCTGATATAATAAAGAAAAGAAAAATGATATAGTGTTCATATTTATGTAGAGAGAACTATATAAACATTCTCCCAGATATTTAAATATTAAATCTATGTATTCATCCATAATATTGTCTCAAAATATGCAAAGTAATGCTTTATATATAACATAATTCAAACAACCATTCCTCTTGGAAACATTTTTTGTTATTTTCCTATAATATAAACAATAATGTAGTAAGTGCCATTGCAGATATACCCCTTATTGAATCTGTGATTGCTACTCTCTAAAAATGACTTCCTACAGCCCCAAAGGGCCACACCTACCAGTATTCATGTCCTTATGTCATACTATCCACTTGAATTTTGGCAGGTCCTGTGACTCACTTGTAACTAGCAGAATGTGGCAGAAATTACTGTGCTACACTGTGAGTTCCAAGGGCTAGTCAGAAGAAATCTTGCAAATTCTACTTTGATCCCCTGAAACACTCACTTTTAGAGCTATAAGCCACCCCCCGCACCCAAGCAGTTCAACAATCCCCAGACCATGCATGATGTGAGAAGCTCAAGCCATATGGAGATGCACTAAAGGATGAGATGCCATATGGAGGTAGGGAGAGAGAGAGATTTTGGAAATTTTCTTTGGAAAAATGTGTATTCAGATCTTTTGCCCATTTTTTAGTTGGATTATTTGTGGGGTTTTTGCTATTGAGTTGTATGAATTCCTTGTAAATTCCTTGTAAACTCCTTATTGAATATGTGATTTGCAGATATTTTCTTCCCTTACACAGGTTGCCTTTTCATTTTGTGGATGGTGAGATAAGTGATAATGGTTTTACTATCGTTAAATATAATAAGACCATATGAAATATTTTCCTCCACAGGGATAATTAAAGATTTTATATTTTTAGAAAATGTGTACATGTTCTTCATTTGACCATTCTTATACTGACCTCACATAAAACCAGAGGTAGAACATTGTATTGGTTTTCTATTGTCTGCATAAAAAAATTACCACAAACTGAGTGGTTTGACACAACACGAACGTATTATCTCAGAGTTTCGTAGGTCACGAGTCTGAGTAGTGTGGTTCAGCTGGTTTCTCGGCATAGAGTATTCAAGGCAGAATTCAAAGTCTTGTCAGAACTGGATTTCCTTCTGGAGGCTTTGGGGAGAATCCATTTCCAAGTTGATTCGGGTTGGTGACAGAGTTCAGT